AATCTACTGAGAATACCAGTTAGAGAATTTCATTCTTAAGACTATTTGGTTCTACAGAAAAAAATAGGAAGAGCAACGAAACAATAAACATATAGAAATAGATCCAAATATATCTGGGATCATAGACTGTAAGCAGCAGTTCTAAATAGCAGGGGAAAGGTAGCTTAATTTTTTAAAATATCACTAGAGCATTGGCTGGCCTTTGGAAGCGGGGATACAGGGAAGCTAAATTGCTTCCTTACTCCTTCCCCCAAAAGAAAAAATCTAAACATTAAAAAATGAAATGCTGAAGACATTAATACCCACCTGTGAAAATTTTAAACTTCTGTTTAGAAAAAAAAGTACACTACACAAGTCAAAAAAGCAAATTAAAAACTGGGGAAAAAGATTTACAAAACATAGGGCACCCAGCTAATGTCCTTAACACACAAGGGCTTTAATGAATTGGTAAGAAGGCTGGGCGCAGTGGCTCACGCCTGTAATCCCAGAACTTTGGGATGCTGAGGCGGGTAGATAATCTGAGGTTGGGAGTTTGAGACCAACCTGACCAACATGGAGAAACGCCATCTCCAAGAGTATGGTGGTGCATGCCTGTAAGCACAGCTACTCGGGAGGCTAAGGCAGGAGAACTGCTTGAACCTGGGAGGTGGAGTTTGCAGTGAGCCACCTCTCCAGCCTGGGGAACAAGAGCAAAACTCCACCTCAAACATAAATAAATAAATAAAATCAGTAAGAAAAAGGTCCTATGCTCATTTATAAAATGGGCAAAGGACATGCACGATAGTTCACGGAAAAGTCAATACAAGTAATTAATCAATCTGTGAAAAGGTGTTCAACTTCCCTCTTGACCCTACTTTTTACCTACCGACTGACACAGATCAGACAGTGTGTTTGTTGGCCCCGACTGTGGGATTTTCTAGGGCACGGCCACTCTCTACCTGTTGGGTGATCTCACCAAGGCCATAACTGTAATTCCAACCTAGGGGCTCATGTTGTCCCATCTTTGTCTATGGCCAGACTTCTCCCCACCTTTTTTCTGAGACGAGTCTTGCTCTTGTCACCCAGGCTGGAATGCAATGGCACGATCTTGACTCACTGCAACCTCCACCTTCCAGGTTCAAGCGATTCTCCTGCCTCAGCCACCCGAGTAGCTGGGATTACAGGCATGTGCCACCCCCAGCTAAATTTTTGTATTTTTAGTAGAGATGGGGTTTCACTATGTTGGCCAGGCTAGTCTCAAACTCCTGACCTCATGATCTGCCCGCCTCAGCCTCCCAAAGTGCTGGAATTACAGGCCTAAGCCACCGCACCTGGCCTCTTTTTCTTGCATTTACATGTCTTGGCAAAAGAGTGTTAAGAACATATTTACATAGCCTTCCCCATAGTCCAACTGAAATTATAGGTAGGTGATTCTAGGACCCAACCCCTCTTTTGCCCCACTCAGGGCATCTGCAGCTTTCTTCACAAACTTTCCAACCACCCTCACGCAGCACTGGCTCCCCGCAGCGAAACGAGGCTGCATTCGCATCCACCGCAAGGCAAACAGAGGCAGCAGCAGCAGGACTTACAGAGGGCCGGAAATTCACAGTTAATTCTGCTTGTTCTTAAACAGAGCATTGTTCCTCACACAAGGAAGGTCAGAGGAAGATGGTCTGTGGAACAGGAATGTGGATTCAACTGGACACTTCCTTCGAGGGTGCCTGCCAGTACCTGCGGCCTTGGAGACACGGCCTCGCTCAGCTGGCTGGCCGCAACGCTTCTGCCTCCCCTGTTATTATCAGGACTTTATGGAGCTCTCCTGGGCCCCAAAATGCCTTGTAAGAACTATTTATGATCATCACTTCCCACAGTGCCTTGGGAATACAGACTGATGGTTGTCATGTCTTATAGGTGGGAAACTGAGGCAAGGAGGAAAGAGGGGCTTCCCACATCAGCCAGTATCTAAGCACAGAACCAAAACACCTCGTAATCTACCACATACAGCAAGAAGAGGGGTAGAAAGGAGACAAGAAAGACGGGGCAGATTTTACACACATCTTTTTCTTTTTTTGAGACAGGGTCTCATTCTGTCACCCAGGCTGGAGTGCAGTGGCACAATCACAGCTCACTGCAGCCTTAACCTCTTGGGCTCAAGTGATTCTCTCACCTCAGCCTCCTGAGTAGCTGGAACCAGAGGTGCACACCATCATATCTGGCTAATTTTTTATTTTTTGTAGAGATGGGGTCTCACTATGTTGCCCAGCCTGGTCTCAAACTCCTGGCCTCAAGCAATTCTGTTTTAGCTTCCCATAGTGTTGTGATTACAGGCGTGAGCCACCTCTTCTGGCCCCAAACTCATTTTTAATGTGGAACCGCTCTTTGGAAGTCTAAAACATATTTAAATCTACTGAACTTTCTCTATGAACATGATTACTTACCCCCTCTAGAATTTTAAATCAGTACTTCTTTTTAGAAAAAAACACTTTAGAAAATAAAGCATATATTGAATGTCTATTCACCAAAAAGCATGTCTGCTGAAATGGCTGGAGATGTGACTACAGCTGGGCTTGCCTAGTTGAGACAAGAGCCTCCCAGGTTCCAGTCATGCTGGAACCCTGTTGGGGCCACCAAACCAGTTGGTTTTCCCCCTGGCACTGGCTTCATGCTCTGGCAGAATGTTCCGGACTCTCCTCAACTCCATTAAATGCCTGGGCAATGCCATGCTGCTTGTCAGTGGAATTCAGCTGGTTACGCAGAGACCTATTCATGACCTCCTGACTGCCTGAAAGACAACTTGGGGGTATGACCTTCCCTAAGACCCAGGAGGACGTCTTTACAAATGGAAGATCCTTCGGCTGTTCCGTATGATGACATCCCAGCCACAGAGAACTGTCTGGACCTACTTTTCACGCTCTTTGAATGTGCCCATGCCCCCGCTTAGCCCTAGATTCACATGTTCTAGCCTTGACCCTAATCGAAACTTACCTCCCCCTATAAATGACCCCTGAGGCCCATGGACAATGTGGGGACAGGCACTCCCACTTTGTCCTGCCCTTCAGCACAGCATACCCCACACAGAAGTCATCTGCTGGTGTTTCGGTCCCTTCCTGGGCCTGGAGCTTCCTCTCTGGGCCACCAGCTTCCAGCTCCCAGCCTGTGCCTCTCTCTTGCACCTGTTCCAGTTATCGTGATTACTGCTTCCAGGAAGGGAATGGGATCAACAGTCTGCCCAAGGACACTAACCTGCTCTCTCGGGCCAGGGGATTCCTAGAAGCAGAGCCTGAGAGACAGCTGACACGTGATTTACTGTGCAGGTGTTTTGAGGAGAAATCTGTAAGGGAATGGGGGAGGCTGGGCAGGGGCAGGGGGAGGAGCTAGGAATTAGGTGGGTTCAGCTGAGTCCAGCCACAGCTGATGCCCTGGAGAACTCTGGGGTGTGAAGGGCCACCAGAGTTGTCCTACCTGGAGGCCAGCAGGCGGGGCTTGTGGACCCCTGCATGTCAGTCATTGGCTGAGAGCCAGCCCTAGGCATTTGCCCTGCAAGAACAATTCTCAGGAAAAGTGTGCAACTGAGACCCAGCACTGTCAACACTCACAGCACACGATAGATTAAGGGGACCTGGGTGGTCCAGCAGCATCCATTACACCTGCTCCATATCTGTGATTGAAGCAACTACTGGGTCTGTCACTGTCCTCCACCCACTCTCAAGTTGGGAGGAAACAGCTGCCCCCTCAGGACCAGCCTGGCACTGAAGCCTAGGCTGCAGGAATGGGGTCAGAGTCACCAAGCTCTGGACCAGCTGAAGCCCTGCAGTGGCTGCACAAAGGATCCTTTCCCTTCCTTCCCACAGACCCCACTCACAGGTGTTTCCAGCATCCACACAAGGCCTTCCCAAGAATAAACGCAGGGCTGTCCAAGCCCTTGAAATTCACTGGCTCAGCTTCCTGAGAGGAGAGCAAACACCAAGTCCTCAAGACGCTCAAGGAGGTGGGAAAGGAACCTGCAGCTCTCACCAAAGACAGCAGAATCCCCTCTGCTCTTAGATCTTGCTTCCTCTAAAGGCCCCGTGACCAGGGAACCCGGAACGCATGCCACCATTCCTCAGTCTCCGAGCATCCCCAGGATGCTCACCCTGCATGGTTTCAGTTCCAGCTGGAGACCCAGCACCTCTCCTCTTATTTAGGAACTGCAAAGTCCTCTGAGGGAGGGGACGGCCCTAGTGGGAAAGTCCAGGGTGAGAGAAGTGAAGCGCTCCCTTTGGTGATCACTTTTGTTTTTTGTTTCCTGAATTGTCTTCCTGGTTGTAAAGCAGGGGCCCACCCCCACCTCAGCTCCTGGTGGGGGTGGGGGAGGGAAAGCAACAGTTGATCTATAGGACTCAGGCAGCCCCAGTCTGAGACAGGCTTGGGGAGGACAGGGCTTTCCATGGAGAATTCTTGGGGTGGCAAACCCCACAGAGCCACCATCTGACCAGTGGGAGGGTCGGGCACTTGCCAAAGCCTTGACTGAAACCAAGGATCGGGGGCGGTGTGAAGTCGTGGCTTGGAGACACCTGACATCAAAGGGTTTTCGACTCCAGGTGCTCATGAGACTCTTCCAGAGCAGGGGCAGGCAGGGCATGGGGAGAGGGGTTGCTTTAAAAATCCTGATGTCAGCGAGGCTTGGTGGCTTATGCTCATGGTGGCTCATGCAACACTTTGGGAGGCCATAGCACAAGGACGACTTGGGGCCAGGAGTTCAAGATCATCCTGGGCAACACAGTAAGACCCCATCTCTACAAAAAATTAAAAATTAGCCAAGCACGGTTAATGCATGTAGACCTAGCTACTCAGGAGGTGTGCCCCTGTAGTCCTAGCTGCTCAGGAGGCTGAGGTGGGAGGATCACTTGAGCACAGGAGTTCTAGGTTGCAGTGGGCTGTGATTGTACCACTGCACTCCAGTCTGGGTGATGGAGTGAACCCTCGACTTCAAAAAATAAAATAAAATAAAATCCTGACCTGATTGCAGCCAGACCAATTACCTCAGACTCTAGGGGAGGGGTCCAGGCAGAAGCATTTCCAAAGCCTCCGCAGGTCATGCCAGGGTACGTCCTGGGCTGAGCGCCACTGTGGAATCTGGTAGGAAAAGAGCTGTTTAGATTGAGGATACCACCGTAAGTATTTCAAAGCAGCCCTTCAAGAAAGGAAGGGGTGGTTTCTAAAAGCAAACTGAGTTGGGTATTTAGCCCCCTCTCTCTACTACTATTTCCAAGGAGAAAGGGGATAGTGAGCATCCCACAGGGTCCACGTGTTCAGGCACTGAGCTGATGCAAAGGGCTCCTTCTTGCAAGCCAGGACACCATGTCACAGAGGCCAGGACCCCAGCCCAGGCCCCAGGTCTCTTGCAAAGGAAAGACTCATTGGAGGCTCACAGTTTCCCCTTTTGGGGCCTGTGCACACCTCTTCTCTGAGCCCTGCCCCCACCCCCAGGACACCCTGGATCTCCCGCGTTAGAGAAGAAAGTTGCCGGACACAGAGCTCCACACTACAGTGTTAAAGACCGACTGGCCAGGTGTCCTGAGGGAATCTGCTCTGTAACCAAGCAGTGGGAGAAGAGATAGCGCTGATCCCTCTGTGATTCGGCCCCCTCATATCGGGGCAGGAAGCTGTGTGATTGGCAAACAGGAAACCCCAGCCCCATTGCACCACACGAGGAAGGAGACTTGAGCTGCAGGCTGGGGCCCTGCCAAGACCTAGAGTTGACAAGAGATGCCAGATCGTGCTTCCCAAACCCGAGCCTGTCCTGGGCATGGGCAAAATGTGGGCTGCCTCAGAAGGAAATGGCACACTGTGCCTTCTGCCTTCCTGCTTCATGCAGCAGAAGGCCCCTCTCTGCTTGGGGTCCTTTAACCCCTACACCAACCTCATTAAGATATAACTTTATTATCCTCATTTTGCAGTTGAGCAGCTGAGGCGCAGAGAAGCTAAGCAACTTGCCCAAAGACGCACAGCTAGGAAAGGGGCGGAGCTGAGGCTCAAATCCAGGACAGTGCAGCTGCAAAGCAGAACCCCTAGAGCAGGCGTCCCCAAACTTTTTACACAGGGGGCCAGTTCACTGTCCCTCAGACCGTTGGAGGGCCGCCACGTACTGTGCACCTCTCACTGACCACCAAGGAAAGAGGTGCCCCTTCCTGAAGTGCGGAGGGGCGCTGGATAAATGGCCTCAGGGGACCGCATGTGGCGCGAGGCCTGTAGTTTGGGGACGCCTGCCCTAGAGACTACAGCTTCTCTTGGGGTGATAAAGAAGAAAGTGCTTTCAGCCAAAAATCAGCCACCCAACTATATTCTGGAGGAGTATGTATCGGAATCCCTTGAGTGTGTATTGAAATCCCTCCAAGGGCTTGTTAAAATACAGATTGCAGGTCCCATTGCCCCAGCTTCTGATTCAGTAATTCTGGGGTGGGGTCTGAGAAGGTGCAGTTCTAATACGTGCCCTGGGCTGCTGCTGCTACTAGTGGTAGCAGGCTCTAGGCGCTTTATCTTAGTCCCTCCAGGAACCCCAGTGGGGAGGCTTTACTTTCACCATTTTACAGATGAGGAAACAGAAGGTCCCAGAGGTTAGGTGGCTTGTCCCAGGTGACACAGCCGACACGAAGCCCTGTGCTCCTGTGGCTCCCTGGCTGAGCGCAGGATCTGAGAGACTCACTATGTGAGCAGCAGGTGCATGCTGGCTGGGGGTCCTGGGGATGGGAGGAGAGTGAGTGTCCAGACCAGAGGATAAGCTGTGGGAAAGGCAGACCCTGCAGGGACCACGGGGAGAGGCCCAGGGCCACAGGTCCAACACGTGGGCACTTGCAGTCACAGAGCCACTGACTCTCAGTCCCATATTACCCACTGGGTGGGACACTGAGGGGACAATGAACTACCCCTCCCACTCACAGGCTCCACAGACCATCCCCACCCCATTCCCAGAAAAGACTTGATAAATGACAGGCACAGGCCCTTCCTGGCAAGCTGCCCCACTCCCATCCCTGGAGCTTCCCCCTTCTGGCCCACGGACACAGAAGGAACTGAGACGTGGTGCTGGAATTTCTCATTCAAGCAGTTCAGCCCCTTCTTCCGCCACCCACTGGGGCCGCAGCCCAGCCCTCCCTGGCAGGGCCTTCTGCACAGGTCGGGTTCCCAGGCGTGACTGCGGGAGATGGAAGGAAGTGGTCCCTGGACTCCTGCTGGGAAGGCCTGCCTCCAGCTCAGCAGTGGGCCAGTGGCCAGGTGAGTGACCTGGAAAGCCACCAGTGGGCCCGCCCAGACAATGGCCTTGAAGGCTGGAGGAGCAGCCACGTGTTTATAGGGAAGCCCCACCGGCGTCCACAAATGCCTGACCTTTAGGATGGATGTTTAGAAGGAAACTCAGAACCCTTAGCCTCTAATCAGAGAACCAGGGCACTGGAGCAAGACGGAGAAGGAAGCACAAAGGAAGCACAGGCTCCAGAGAAGCAGCTGCGTGCGTGGGTGTGAGCGCAGGTCCGCGTGGGAGTGGGAGTCCAGTGTGGTGTGTGTGTATATGGAGGGCATGGTTGGGGGGGGGAGGTGTATGGCCGTGTATGGCTGTTACATGTGTGTGTCCACATGTAGTGTGTGCTTGGTATGTGTAGAATTAGACTCTGGCTCAGAGAAACTAAAGACCTAGAATGCTAACCAGCCAAGACACAGCCCCTCGTGGGCTCAAATTCAGTCACCTGAGAAATTCCGTGTGACTGTGGGACCCAAGGGGAGAGTGAAAAGTTGGTGGAGACAACACTGGCCCCAGTAAAGCAAATAAGACAAGACACTCCCTTGCCTGCATTTCTCAAAGCCAGGGCCAGTTTATAGGGTAGTTTTCATGTCCCTGCTGGGGAAGAGCAAGGTAAGCTTTCTTTCAGTCCAGTAACTACAGGATTTAAGTGGAGCCCTCGTCCCACAGGGAGGCCACCCTGCAGGAAGTGCCCAAGGCCTATGTCTCCAAGTGCTCCCCACTCACCCATCTGAGGGTTCATCTCCTAGCTGTGAAGAGACAGAGACAGACAGATCCGGGCAGGTAAGGAGGGGCTGCCTCCGGGTCCCCTGTTTCCTACAAGCTCAGATTTCTTTAGTAGCCACACTTCCTGTTTACTGAGTGGTTTCCAAGTCACAGGCCACTCTGAGACTCATTTCTGACTTCACATCCCCTTCCTCAAGGGAGCCCCAGCATTCTTCCTTTTTTGGTGCTATAGGCTGAGACTCTGAGCTCTGTGTGCAGAGATCTTGGGGTTTCCTCTACTCACCACCTGGGGCCAGGACTAAAAACTCAAAAGCTAGGAACGCTGGCCTCCTCTACCCCCAGACCTCGACAGTTTCCTTGGACTTGAAAAGCAGTAAGTGGAAAGAGTAAAGGAAGCACTGGGTGTATGCAGAGCCCTGGGGTGGGGAGCAGCCTCTGCGGCCCATCGTTTAACCTCAAGTTAATGCACTCACAGCATGTGTGGGGAAAGTCCCTGCTTACAGCAGATCTCAGGCCCCTCCTAGTGCCAGGAGAGATGGCACATCGGGGGGTTTCCAGACAGACCATTTCCAGGGGAAGTTTGCCACTGTAGCACATTCACACCGTCCTCTGTCTGCCCTACGTCCAGCTGACCAACCCTAAAGGAAAGTCAGCCCCGTGAAAAGCAGAACTGCTCCTCCACATGGCCCACGGAGGCGGCTCTGTCAAATTTCTGTACACCCCCCATGACTGCCTAAGATGAAAAGGGCAGCCGCCCACTGGGCAGGGCCAGGTGAAGAGACCCTGAGTGCCCTCCCAGACCCACGCTCTCACCAACTCACTGGGGGAGGCACAGGCGTTTCGGGGAACTCATCTAACAAGGAACTTACAGCATTTGCCTCAGAGCAAATATCCCAGAGAAAAGTCACCTGACTCACTCCTGTGACCCCTGAATAGAGTTATGTGACCTGGTTTCCCAGTTCCGGGTCCCGCAGCTTCCTGAGCTGACTGGAGGGCATACTCTGCCTCACCAGCTCCCCAGCCTGTGGCACCGTGGCCCCAACTGGCCACATGAGAGCCATCCTTGCCCTAAATGTCTGTGTGATCAGCTGTAAGACCCGCATGGCACTTTAGGAAGGGGCACGGATTATCCGAGGCTACTAACCCATCTCCCCAGAGTACCTGAGGTCTCGTGGACCCCACCAGCTAAAGTCCCTGCACCCCATGCCACACTACAGACAAAACATTCAACAGCCAGCCACACAGCCACTGGGATGGGTATCAGCAAGGCAAGGGTTTGGCACACACAGGATGCTTGAAACAGAAAGGCAGAGACAGTAAGTAATTACCAAGAGCTGGAAGGAGAAAGGAATGAGTGGGTTATTGTTTAGTGGGTACAGAGTTTCTATTTGGAATGATGAAAAAGTTCTGAACATAGAGAATGGTGATGGGTTATGCAACATTGTGAATGGAGTTAATGCCACTAATTTGTACACTTGGAAATGGTTAAGGGGGTAAATGTTACAGTATGCATATTTTACCACGATAAAAAATAAAAATAAATTATTACATATGAAAAAAGATGAAGATCAAAATCTCCCCAAACTCCACCACCCAGAGTTAATCCCTATTAATATTTTATCATACATCCTTCCAGATGCTAATATAAATGGGTGATATATTTTGCAGAAATAGCACACCATTTGGTAACCTGTTTCTTAAAAATATATCATATTCTGGTGGCTCACGCCTGTAAATCCTATCATTTTGGAAGGCTGAGGCAGGTGGATCACCTGAGATCAGGAGTTCGAAACCACCTTGGCCAACATGGTGAAACCCTGTCTCTACTAAAATATAAAAAATTAGCTGGGCATGGTGGCACATGCCTGTAACCCCAGCTACTTGGGAGGCTGAGGCAGGAGAATTGCTTAAACCTGGGAGGCAAAGGTTGCAGTGAGCTGAGATCACACCATTGCACTTCAGCCTGGGCAACAAGAGTGAAACTCCATCTCAAAAAAAAAAAAAAATCATATTATTCCATGTTAATAGCTACACATCTACATCCTATATTTTTGTAGCCACATGGTATTCCAAAGTAGAGATATACCATGGTTAACTAATTTATGACTAGTTATAA